CATTATGGTGCGCATGTGACGCTGTCTTTTCGTAAAACCAGCATGTAGCTTCCGCCACTCCTAGACTGAAGGTAAGACGAGGTATATGTGCGCGGTTGTCTGCTTCACACGGCTTCGTTTTAAATGAGTAAATTTTATTTTTCCTTAATATTTCTTTTCAGATTTCTTGATTTTATTTCCAGTAGATAGTACTTATACCCAAATATTTCAAAGAGTTTCTGGAATATTTTCTTTAACTAACAAATCAATGTTGGGAGGGGGAGAATTATTATTCTTTCTTGCCCAGATACACTTCGACTTTTATTTCACTTCTTTCAATCGTCCACAAAGGCACATTTGGTCCGTTAGTATGATGTGGGGTAGGTTTTACATCGAAGCTAGGAGGGAATTAAATATTTTTTGATTGTACACTTAGATAAATACAAGCGTTTTAGTACATATATTTATAGAAATCGAAAACGTTTTGATACAGTAGCTTGTTTCACTCTTATTAATCCCCAAATAAAATCTGTATTAGCGTCAAGAGACCAGTGTTGTACGGTTTCTGAACAGTCGGCGAATTCCTCAGAAAAAGACCTCGCCCCTCTATCTGTTTGTATGGATGCGCCACACAACTCGAGAATATACTCTATTGCTATGCTGCTTCTATAGAAAAACTGAAGAAAAGGAAAGAACATAAAGCGCGATATCTTGCAACTTTTACAGGTTGGAACATGGACCCGAAATTCTGGAGTGGTTGCTAGGACACCGAGCAGAAACGTGTCTACTGGTGACATCAGCCTGCGACATCGACAATTTCTCCGCGTCATCGCCATCGTCGTAGGTGTCCCGACGTAAGACGATCAATACTGCATAGCTTCCAGAGCGAAGCGCTCCACGGACGGAGCAAAAAAAGGGCAGCACCCCAATTCAACTTCTCACACTTTTCCAGCGACTCTTGACGTCTCTTTGGCCGTGACACGCGCATTCGCTCGATAAGCATCTCGCAGCCGTCACAGTTCATTACCGTTTGTCGGGGGCCTAAACGACGTGGTGTTGTGCCATCGGAAGGAATATTTTTCTTCTTTGCGACGAGGTCACTTTTGTCACTGATGTGGTGCTTCTCATTAGGTGACATAGTTCACGATGCTAACACGTTGCCGTCGTTTCATAAAAATGTCCCCCCAAATTGAAATTCGATGGAAATATATGGGGACTATTTAATACGACTTTGCATTCGATCAATAAGTTAAACAATATGTTGGGAAATAACGCGGGATGCCGCAAAATGTACACATTTCTACGGTGCGACCAATCACGATGATTGCTACTTTGGTATCATTATGCAACCATCTGGATTATAGTAATGATTTTTTATGTACCGAGTATTAAGAGCTAGCTTTCTTTTTCGACCCAGAGTATTCATGACACTGGAAAGTGTTTCTCCAGACGTGAAGCCGGTTATTAGCGCCTGCAAGTAGGACTCCTGAATGCACTTAGATGGGGCAAATTCTAGTGCAACGTTCTCCACGCTCGGGTCTAAGAGATCGTGCCCCTGTGTATCCGCGCGCAAGTTTCTTACCTTCGGCAAAATATGCCTATAAAAATAAGCGACTAATGCATTTCCTAAAGCCAAATCTTGGTGTATTAGAAGCTTATGTCTAAGATTATCATTACAATATTTGATCACAAATTTGTTTTCTTAGAATGCGTTTGAATATAATTTGGTAATAAATGGGAGTCACGCTTGATGGGGTCTGAAACCATATGAAAATACTTAACAAGAGCAATTGTTTCCTGTCTAAAGAACGAGCGCAGACACAGAGCTACTATTCGAACAGATACTGTAAATTATTTATTGATTGTCCTCTTTTTTTTCTTGTTCGTATTAAATAAAAATATGACATTTAAACGTTGAATTAAACCGGTAATTACGTTGCATCGTGAAAGACAGCGCTACTGGGGCGTTGTTTTTCAATATGAACTCCTACCAACTCGCTCAAATGTCAATTCTAGCCCGCTGCTTGATGTGTTACATTGGAGGCATTAAGCAATCTTATAAAACATTGTCAATCTACAAGATAAAAGAGCACGTCAATCTATTGCTGGAGTGTTACAGGATAATATTTTCCGAATGAGAGAGCAGAATGTAATTTGTAAATATTATGCTCACGGAAAGACAAATGACAGGAAGACGTTATGCGTAGGCGCGTGACACATAACAATTTGATATTGTTTTTCTGTTCTGAATTTCATACATAAAATGCATGATAACCGTAGCAAACGCTTTGTGATATATAGGATTGTCTGTTGTTACGTTTAACAAAAGAATATAGTTTTCTGAAGGGGTCCGAAACCGACGGTAGCTGCTCTAGACAGAGATCACTTACTCCTTTCATTTTTTTGTTGTTTATTTTTAGAATAGCATGTATTTACATTTTATCAGCATCGTTTTAACCAGATGTTTGCATACGCTGACTGGGAAGGAGTACACTACTTTGGCATGGCAGTAAAAAAATGAGACGCGTATACCACACCCTAAAACGCCGTATTAGAGCGCAGCTCTTGAGGAGGAGGAGGGAAGGGTATACTGATGGGAGGATATACCTCTCCTCCTTTTTCCTCACGCCCTCATCCTCCGTGATACTCCTCTTCCCCTCCTCCCTTCTCTTCTTCCTCCTCGTCGTGTTCCTCCCCTGCTCCTCGTCCACTCATCCCTAAAGCGGCTCTCCTCCGCTCCTCCTCCTCCCTTCTCCCCCTCCCTCCTCTCCTCCTCCGCCTTTTAGAGCGCAGCTCTTAGGGGCCCGTTTCCGGCTTGAGCGGCGTCGCCGTCGCCGTCGGCGTCGGCCTCGGCGTCGGCGTCGCCGTCGGCGTAACCGCGCGATGCATTATGGGTAAATTTCCCCGCTAAATCTAGCGGAAAAATGTCTCCGCTATATGTAGCGGAAAAACTTCCCGACTAAATCTAGCGGAAAATATTCCCCGCTAAATCTAGCGAAAAAATTTCCCCGCTAAATCTAGCGGAAAAATTTCCCCGCTAGATTTAGCGGAAAGAATTTCCCGCTAAATCGAGCGGAAAAATTTCCCCGCTAAATCTAGCGGATAATTTTCTCCGCTAGATTTAGCGGAAAAAATTCCCCGCTATGTCTAGCGGAAAATTTTTCCCGCTAAATCTAGCGGAAAAAATTCCCCCTAAACTTTAGCGGAAAAATTTCCCCGCTAGATTTAGCGGAAAAATTTCCACGCTAAATCTAACGGAAAAATTTCCCCGCTAGATTTAGCGGAAAAAAATTCCCCGCTAAATCTAGCGGAAAAATTTTCCCGTTAAACCTAGCGGAACAATTTCCCCGCTAATTCTAGCGGAAAAATTTTCCCGTTAATCCTAGCGGAACAATTTCCCCGCTAATTCTAGCGGAAAAATTTTTCTGGGGGGTCACGTGACCTCCCAAGGTCACGTGAGCCCCCCCCTTCCCCCCCCCCCCCCCCCCCCGAGGTCACGCGGCACCCGCGCCCCGAGAACAGGTGACCCTCAGTACCCTTCCCTCCTCCCCCTCAAGAGCTGCGCTCCAATTCGGTGTTACAGGGAGTTGTAAACGGCTTTCATTTTTTCCTCCTCTCTTCCCGCTCCTCCTCCTCTCTCCTCTCCCTCCTCCTCCCCTCCCCCTCTCCCTCCTCCTTCCCTCTCCCTCCTCCTCCTCCGCCTCCTCCTCCCCGCGCGTTGCATCCTTGGGAATATCCCATAATGCACCGCGCGGAACCCTCGTGACGTCAGGAGGGTCCAGCGCGGTGCATTACGGAACATTTCCCATAATGCATTGCTCAATTACGCCGACGGCGACGCCGTGGGAAATTGCAGTGGAAACGGGTGCCTAACGGGCGCCTTAAAAAGTCGCAGTAAATCTCAGCGGAAACGGGAGCCGGAAGGCTCGTTCACATACTTGTAATTGAGTGCGACCGAGAGAGACAAGACCGGTTTGTTAGCCTCTTACGACGTCTTAGAACCAGCTAGGCAGCAGCGCATCCAGTCCTAAGACGTCACAAGAGGCTTAAAAACCGGTCTTGTCTCTCTCGGTGGCACTCGGTTGCAACTATGTGAACCAGCCTGAAGAGCAGCGCTCTAAAACAGAAACAACCGACCTAAAACTAAAAAAAAAAAAAAAAAAAATCGGGGAGGTTTTTTTATGCTTGTTTTTCGTAACTGTGAAAGCCCAGTAAACGTTTTAATAAAGAGTTCTAGAATAACATACGTTATTTTAGCGAACGTTAGTGCTAAATTTAGCGCTTGCGTTAGCGCACGGTACGCAAGAAAGTTTTAGAATAGCGTTTCTCTGCCACGAAACAAAAGCCCAAGCCTCTCGCGTTTGCGACGCCACCAAGATAGTCTACAATTTTTTTATATCACGGCGTAACTAAAAAATATATATATATATATATATATATAAAAGAACATTTTTCTTTTCTTTTCTTTTCTGGGGGGGGGGGGGGGGGCGGGGGGGGGGTGTTTAGAATAACATTTGAGATTTGTTTAAACATGAGATTTCGACGCGAGCGGTCTACCGCTCGTGTCCGCCTGCGTTGGCTCGGCGAGAGAGGTCTCGTGTACTGTCCGTCACACACCGTTCCTCCACCGAGAAATATTCGCGAGTCGCAAGCATCAAGTTGCTGGTGATCGTTTCCCGCCTTACTGGGTTTTCCAAACCGGTTCCAATGTCGTGCCGTATTGAAAATCGCAGTGGCTAGGATGCCGCCGACATTGCGCTCATGACGCCGTCAAAGCGGCCGCATCCATGGTCCTGCGAACCACCATTTTTTAACTCTGCTCACCTTGGAGGAGCACAAAGACTCTACGTACGTACGCAATTTTCTAAAAACAGAGTACGCTAAAATAGCACACGGAAGCGCAAAACGTGGTTAGCGTTAGGCACATGCGATGTGGCGAGGACGCCATTCTTTGCGTACACAAAGCTTTGGGGTCCACTATTCTAAAGCACCCTAATTTTTCTCAGAAACTAGAGAGTACGATGATTAAAAAAGAAGCAACTGAGGAAAACTTCATATATTCGCCGTTTACTGTGAGATGTTGTACCAACACATAAACATTTGTCACTCAATGTGTTTTTTTTTTTTTTTTTTTTTTTACAAAGGCATTATGCTTTTACGGGCCAATAACTGTATTTAATGTCCGAATTTTTTATATTTTTATTTTTTCAGCTCCGATGTCTGGTTGCGTGAAATCCTTATTTCTTGACCGTTTCGACAATTCGTTCTGCGTAGGGACAAAGTGATTTATGAGGCAGATACTGAAAAAAACGCACTCCCCCACGTCCCCCCCCCCCCCCCCCCCGCATCCCTCTCTTTCCTTTTCCTCGATGTCACGGGGATTTGTCAGCATCCTCCGTACGTGATTGCCAAGTCAAGTGGCCGGTTCATCGGCGTAGCAGCCGTCAACGGCACCTCGGAGCTCCGCTTGACGGGCTTCGCCATCGAATTGCTGGACATTCTGGCCAGGGCACTTGGTTTCGACTACAATGTCCGTGTCTCCGGGGAGGACTACGGCAGCCTCTCGCCCAACGGCACTTGGACGGGCCTGGTACGACAGGTCTACGAAAGGGTGAGTGCGACCGCCCGCTGCCATCTGGCTTCCGTCCACCGAAACCGTCGTTGATCGATGGCGCCGAGAGATGATTGATGAATCCATCCTGCGGCCGAGACGTGGAATGGGTTTAGTTGTTTTTTTTCTTTTTTTCTGTCTAAAAGTTTGAGTTCTGCAAAAGTCGGACACACGATTCGAGTTTATCTTTCGAAGAGTTTTTGAGCGTATATAAAACGTTTACCGATTTTTTTTTTTCATCTAGCATTTGTTTTTCCGCTGTGTATTGTGGCTTGTGTTCCTGCTTGTTTTTTTTTTTTTCAGAAAACGAAGCATTTCTACATCCTAATTAACAAATGTTCGTACCCACACATCGTTCGTCGCCTTTAAGTATATTCTTCTTCTATTTAACAATTGAACCGTGGGTTTAGTGTCTGGAACAATAGGAGGAAATTAAAGAGAAGTAAACGTGTGCACTTTTTTTTCCTACGTGCGCTGTGAGCTCAGCCCTTTGCTTGATTCTATTGAGCATATCGGCGTCCTTCTGATTATATGAACACCCATAATCACTGATCTATTTATCCGAACAACTTGTATGTCATGTCAGGGCCTAGACCTACACCGCATATGCCTAATCTTGGCTGTAGTTAGGAACTCAACAAATGGCGAAAATTATTTTTTCCGTTCGTGGCTGAAGTGGACAACTGTCCTTGTTGGTCGAAGCCGTCATCACCGACAAGTTTAGCGGGATTATTGAGAATTTACTCCCAACCTTGTTTTTCAGAAAACTTAAACATCACAAGAAAACCCCTAGCTCAAAGCGAAACACGCATTGCAACAAACATATCTAAGTAAAATAATTCCAGAACATCAATAAAAATGGAGTACGAAACCTGTAGAAAATATTATACTCGAGATCTCATTTTGAGATTGTTAATTCGGGTTCACCTTCTTAAAAGTCAGCTTATGTCGCTGTAAAAAATTCAAATTTTTAAAATTGTTCACGTTTGATTTTTGGTGTAAAAAAGCGCACATAACTTCTAATTGCAAAGAAACATGTATGAACACACGCCATGAAGGCAATAAATATGATTTATAAGTGATTTGAATCACGTGGGACATTCGCCTCGGTGGCTCCGAGGTAAAGCACTGGCCCTCTGATCAACAGTTGGAGGGTTCGAATTTTGGCTGAAGTGCCCCCAGTCTTTTTGGTATTTGTTATGAATAAGGCATCGCGTTACAAAGATTCCACTTTAAAACACTTCCATGAGTTCGATATCAAAGTTTAGCTCTCCACTGGCGTAAGCGAGATGCCCTTCATTTGTTGTGTAAAGCAAAACCCCCAATTTTCATCAAAACTTTTTTGGTTCGTGCGGAACAGGAGGTAAGCGAAAATTCGTGTTTAAGAAACCGTTTATTCTTAGATGCTATGAGAAGGGTATAGAAATATTTCATCGAGTAGATAAGTATTCTCACGACCATTTTTTATCTTTCAAAAGGTTAATGCATTCAAGAATGTGCCTACAAAGCACCGAGCAAAAAAATAAAAGGTTTCTTTTTACCTTTGGATATTAAGCACAAAATAACCGAGCTAAGAGCTGCACAGGGGATTTAGAAAATTTACTGCTGCTTTTCGTTTCTTGAACGACAGCTTACAGAGAAAATTGCAGACCTTATTTCTACGTTACATCTACTGTATACAAAAAATGCTTACTGTCTCGAACGTGCAGTATGTTGTATAGATACGTTTTTCGCGGTGGACGCTATGTTAAGATTGACGTAGCTTAGTTGGAGAAAAAAAAATCACTTTATCTGCCGATTGAACGGCGCTAGAATTCAATAAGTTCATGCCAGTAGTTCCACTCATTCCTTCGCTATACATTTTTTTATTGTAATTATACTCAAACTACTTAGTTTAGTTTTTTTTCCCGCCAAATATACGTCATATTTCAAGTTCGCAACAGTCACACAAAAACGGTCTCTAAAATGTTATGTTTAAGCAATGTGGAAGGCTGTGAAAGTTCATTTTGGAATAGAGATGTTTAAAACAAAAATTGTGATCGCTTCTTTTGAATACATGATCTGTTCAGCAGAAACTAGATTTCTTTAGAATCCACGAAATACCTTGTGTACATTAATTTCGAAATTGGCGCATGTTTTTTTCAAGCATCCTTTTGGACGCAAAAAATAGAACGCCACTAATTTTACTATAATATCTTGCCACACGCGTCTTCGAGCAAGCGCGTCCGTGGCTGACATTCCGCTTCTCAAACTCGCCAAGAAGGGTCAAAGGATGACTGGCTCTAACGGAGCTGTGACAACGGCCCAAGTTGGCAGCGGAACTTGTACCTTTGCTGCGCCATCGTCTTTCGAGGACTACAAAGTGGTGTTGCCACCCCTCCCAATAGGTACGGCTATTTTAATTGCGCTGATTTTGCACTGCAATTTGAAAGCTCGCCTGTATCGAATTGAAGATTTCAGGGAAGAACTGAAGCGGTGCACCGCCCTGTCCGAGATTGTGGTGCTCCAGGCATTCCAGATGAACCACGTCTAATTGGCCAACGCTGCGAGCCCCGGAAGCCAAGCAGCCGCTCATCGGCTGCAAAGAGTTGAAGGTGGAGGACCTGAGGTGTGTTATCATCAACCCCAGCAGCATGGAGGTTCGTCTACGCCTCCATTGGGTTTTGGATCATGCATCTCACGACGCGGTAAGCAAGGTTTTGGAACCCTTCGCCAAGGTTATCGAAGTCGGACGTCAGAAGTGGTGCTTCGAGGGATTCGAGGGCATCGAGTCGACTACCCAGGTGGTGCGCATGACCCTGAAGAGCGGCGTCACGCCCGTCAGAATGCCTAATTAGCTGCGGCTTCAGGGGGCCGACGTCCTCATCGTCATCCCAGAGAGAGCACCGGGCTGCCTGCGCTGTAAGCGCGCCGGGCACATCAGGCGCGAGTGCCGTGTGGCAAATCGCTTGGTGTGCTCTAGCTTCGGCCATAAGAAGGAGGAGTGCGTGAAGACCTACGCCCGAGTAACTGGTGTAGCGGCGGCGAAAGCCTTTCGCCCCTAACCGTGGATGTCGACGAGGCTGAGCGCTCCACTCAGGGAGAGAAAGAGCGAAGCTCCCCCGTCCGGTGAGCCCTGTCGTCATTCTGTTGGAGCGGAAGGTTCGACTGAAGTTTCCGCCGGAGAGAGCAAGAAAGAGACGGCTGGTGTCATCCCTAAACCAGGCAGCGCGGCACCCTCTCCCACGGCGACGCTACTTAAGTAAAAAGTAGCCCCGCGTGAGGCCTCTTCCCGGCGTCTGAGAAGGCGCCCTCCTGACGCTACGGCACCATGGACAAAGTCACCGAGTTCATCAACCGTAGCCTCGATGAGAACACTCCATCGACGCCGGGCATGAGACGCAGGCCAAACCCGTGGAGGGAGAAGACGAAGAATGAACGTTTCCAGCCCACGCCCTCCTTCCCTCAAGATTACCGGAGGCGACTCAACAGCAAGTAAGCGGGTTGACGCCTGGTTACAAGAACCGACGTCCAAACGCCAAGGCAAGTGCTACAGCAAAACACAATCTGTGTACGTTCCAACCAGCAATAACAGTTGCATCGCTAAATTTTGGAGGTTTGAAGGACAGGGAAAACGAAATACCAATTACAGCTCTTTTTGCACAAAGACAAACCTGATTCCTTAACGGTGCAAGCGACTAAAATGGCTGAGGAGGAACCGATTGCTAATGAGCTTAGACCTGCTTTGCAGACGTCCGATGTTTGTGTCACACGGCCGGTTTGTTTTTCTTGCGGATGTTTTATTCATTTTAGACGTCCCTGGCCTCGTCAGAGTTAGTTGTAACAACTGACACGGATAGGCGGTTCAACATGAAAAATGTTTTCTTGGCGTCTTTTCTGTGACGAATCGTTTGTGCCTATGCGCATAGTGCGGTTAAATATCGTTTTTTGTTTTAGTGGTATACGCCGTTTTATAGAATGCGATAAAACGATTTTGCTGTTGGGCGACTTCCACTGCGTTGTAAGGGCAGCAGACAGAACGCCGTTGAGGTAGAGGAGTGACAATAGTATGCATGTTTTAAGCGAAGCAGTCGAATACTTCGCCTTGGTGGACGCTGGAACGGTCAAGAATGAGACGAGCGAGATCCGTTTCTCCATTTCTAAGCTTCGTCTCATGCACGTTTAGATAAAATATACACGAACTCAACTCTGTGACGTCAATGCGTGGTGGTGGCGCGTCGGTCGCACTTCTGGTCTGGGGCTGTGGGTAGAAGTCCCCATGCCAGACGTGTATTCCTGCGTTGTTTTGAAAGGAAAAAGACAAAAACCTACCTTCTCGTCAAAACGCCGCGACTGGGACCGTACCAAAAGTGTCGAGAAAGGTTTGAAGGTTAGGTTCACGTGCTCGGTTCGTCCGAAAATCTGCATATGTGCCGTGAAAAGGGAAAAGCAGACGCCGTCGGACAACGATTGCTTGGACGGGAGCACTTTGGGTTGAATTCACGAATACTTGTATTCATTAGATTTATTTGTTTTGTTCCAACATAAATGCCAAAAAACCGTCAAGTTGCGCGGACCACCTGCGGACTACGTTCAGTGCGTCTTCAAGTTCAAACGGCCGCCTTATCATTCGAACAGTCGTCTGCTCTTTTAAACGTTTCTGCTTGTCGCCTTCTCTCTTAGACGACGTCGGCCCGTAGACCAAGTTTTGGCCCGGCACTTGCGATAAGAAGTAAGTGCAGGCCTCAAAAGACTTAAATTTGAAGGTTGGTAAGCGGACTCGATGTAAACAGTAGATACAAGGAGATGCTGATCATTGTTACCAGTGAGCATCACCGACTTGTTATCCCTAATTCACTTGGTCCGATTCTGCTTGCGATTTTCAGTATCGACGTCGACCATCTCAGCTACTGTTCACGCTTTTGCAACCCGAGCGGCGTCGTGACTGAAAATCGCGTGCGGAATCGCATCATGCGAATCAGGCTTTAGCGTACATACTGCGGCGTCCACGCGGAATGAAT